CAATATTAAAATTAATTTATATTATGGTAAAAAAAAATGAACCTTTTTGCACATATTCTACAATTCTGGCTAAAACGTTTACCTTTGGCCTTCAGCATAACATTAGAGAGAACTGAGATAATCTTTTATTCCACAGATGATGATCCTGAGATCTTCATAAAACACTCATGATGAGTTTCTGATCCAGAAACTCCTGGTTTTAAATTAATTATTCTATTTGCTAATTCATCCTCTTTAAAAATGCTTGTAACTGCCTACTTCAATAGTTCAAACTCCAAATATACCTTAAACTTCATTCATTTGCATAATGGAAACCGTGTTGGCGCTACCACAGAAGCCAACATGTACACTTTTCCTTTTCTCTGCTCTTGGGGATGCTATGTATGTTGTGAAAAATTTTACAAATGTACATAGTTTCTATAACCACATCCATATTGGGGTTGCAAGTTTTAGTGTTTTTTCCAACGTTTGTTCAATGAAAATAGCAATAAATATCAATTCATTTATATGATTAAATACAGTTACTTTGTGTATCTTAGTGAAACAAATAAAGTAGCATATTACAAATGTTAATGTTTTTAAGGAGCAGAATTTATGCCTGAAAGGATTTGATTGTTGTGTGTTGTCATCACTGCCATGCAAACTTAATTCCCACTGAACTTAAAATCACCCACATTGGAATTACAAAAATAAATTATCTTAATGGAAACAGGCTAATTTTGAAATAACTTTTTTTGATACAGTTTTTGTGCTAGGATAAGGTGTGTTTTTTGGCTGTTTTTAAATCAGTGTATAACTTAGCAATTATACATTTCGCATTATATAAGTCATGTGATCAACAACCGAATGTTGCTACTGGCAGAAATCACGAAGAAGAAGACTGCAAGTAGACGGATCATTGTGTGGCATGTTTTTTTTTTTCTTATTGTATTAAACTTATTTTAATTACGTTTCTTATTCAATAGAAACGCCACAGTTGCGAAATTGTGTTTTCCCTATGTTAGCGGAACATCAAGAAAGTTTTACACACATCTTAGGTAACTTCTCTCTTCGTTATGTAAGAAAAACGAAACAAAGAGTTTGTCTGATCAACTAGATCCTGACTTCTCTTTTCTAAACATTTGACACACCAAGTCATGCACTCAACTAGACCTTAATGTTAGAAAACAACCTTATAATAGAGCTTGTCGCAGTGTGAGTGTACCATGTTTGCAATATTCACTTCGTAGCTCAGTGGGGTGATGACCCACCCACCTTCTGCAAATCACACAAAATGTCATGCAGGCGTGGAAAAAGAGCTCACGCTGCACTGGGTTTGCTTTTAAAAGTCATGAAAAACATGCAGAGTTTATTTTACTGTTGAACAGAAATATTACTGCGGCTATGAAACCGGTTGGAGATGAGAGCTGGCTTAATTATCCGTAGTGTGTTGGTGTGAATTAACCTTTATGCTGTTGTCTGGAGTCTTGCATGAAAAGAAAATACAAAGTTCTCAATTTCTGTCTCTCAGATATAAAAACAATATCCGTTTTCATTTTGATGAACTTTTTGCAACTTTTATTACCAAAACAGAATAAATTGAGGATTTATACAGTTTGATGCAATTGCTGTTGTTAAAAAGTATGAGAAGTGGATGAACTGCAACTCAAAGAAATAAATAATAATCGTACAAAGTACAAAATATATGGAAATATCCATGCCAGGCCATGGCAGTTGTCGTAAAAAATTGTTGGCTTTTATTTATTTATTTTTTTTGGTAAAGGGCCAACTTGCTTTGGATTGGACTTGGAACCCATTTATAACTGCTGGTTGTTCAAATTTCAGTTCTCAGCTTTAAATATTTAACATAAAGTCAAAGCTTAATGTAGGGCTGAACAGTAAATCAATAATATATATATATCGTGATAGATCAATAGCGATAGATCAATAGCTATTATTAACTGAAACTAATTCAGAACTGCAAAGCATTCTGGGAAAAGGCCTTAGCTTTGATTGTTTTTAAGCTAGGTTGGTGGCTTCAATTAATTCACTCCCTCTTTGGTTGCCTAGCAACAACCTGTTGAGTAACTTGAGCAGCAGCAGTTTCAGGTTTCACCACCGAGTCTCATAACTGCTTAAAAACAAACAGTGTGGAGAGAAAACTGAGGATAAAACAGGAAAGTCACACCACCAGATTGGCAATATTTCAGACATTCAAAACATAAAGCTAATCAATAATCATTGATATGAAACAGTAATAACATGATACGTTTTTCAGCCACATCCTCCAGACGTAGCTTGATGATCTGTCCGGTCAAAACTAAATACATTTCAGAAATTCAGCCTAAATTCTCCAAAATTTCAGAAAGGAACTGAGCTGAGAGATTTCTTTAATGTAGTCGTGTATGGAGGTCTTGAAGGTGGGTTTTCACTGTTGCATGTTTAAAACTTTCAGGTAAAATGACTGATATTTAAAGTATGGAGCACACATGGTGCCAGAACGTATTCTGAAGCAACAAAGGGCTTGTTGTCACTGTAATTCATCATACTTACAGTGCAAAATGCCTCCATAGCCATATGAATACACAATATTAGGGGTTAATGCGACTTAAACTCGGTGATATTACATTTCCAAAGCATTTGTTTTTGACACTCCTGCATTAGCTTCATTTTTCACCCTCTAACTGCTAAAGCCAACAGTTTTTCCATCTCATTGACTTTCCTCTCCTCCTGTCTCTGTCCCTACACATTTTCTCTCCTCACCTTCTTATAACACCTTATTTCATTAAAGTGTGGACTAGCTTTCCTCCTTATCAACAGCCACAAATTACTTTTTTTTTTTTCCTCAGTCCATTCCTAGGCAATCAGAGCTGCATGGGAGGTCTCTGAGCAAGCAGCACCGCCGGCTGCTTCATATCAATGCAGCCCAGACACTTGGATGGGGAAAATGTCACTTTGATACCTCCCACTGGTCACTGTCAGGGTGGGGAGTCTAACCCGGCTAATGAAGTAAAAAGGAAAAAGCTGTGAGGGGAAAATGGTCTCCAGTCAGAATGTTTTGTTCATCAACCCTGCTTAAAGCTGCTTGTTTCATTTTCCTCACTCTTAATTTTCATCTTCTGTTTCCATGCAGTCATTTGATTATGCTTATACATGTTTCTCTGTTGTAAAGAGAAACTAACCTACAGGTGTAGTTATTCATGAGGGTGGCTCAGTTTATTATTCAACATACAGTGGATCTAAACGGTCAACATGTCCACCGTGAACCAGCAGGTTTTTGTGACAAATGAGACCAAGGTGAGTCATTTTGAAACTTATTCCACCTTAAATGAGACAAAATGTACCAACTGTAGATTAATTCAATTTAAAAAAAATACTTTATTTATCCCAAAGGAAAATCTAATTTGCTAAACTGAAATGTGGGCCAGAATGTTCTCCAGTAGCAGTCAGTCTCTGAAGAGGCCTCTGACTGAAGACTGTTATTCAGCTTCACTGCAAAAACACAAAATCTCACCAAGTCATTTTATCTGGTTTTCCGTACAGATATTTTAGTGCACAGGTTTAAATAATAAGTAACTTTTTAGCAATAAGTAAGAGCTTGTTTTAAGTAAATAATTTCTTAATATTGATTTAAAAAGTACTGATTCCAATGGCAAATGTTTTCACTTATAACAAGCCATTGTTCTCATTTTATTCTCAAGCAGTTTTGAGGCATGGTGGCAAAACCTTAAATTGTTGCTGTGAAAGTTACTCTACCGGTGGTTGCTAGGTAATGTAGAAGAAGATTCTAGGTTATAATATTTCTTAAGAAAGAAACTTTTTTGGCTCGAACTTCTTCATCCCAGGTTCTCCCGGCGGGCCACGTGTAGCCACACAAAAACAACAATGAGTGTAGACGTCACAGAATTGCAGTTTAATCCAATAGAAGACAACGCATAAAATTACAACGGAAACTGCAGAACAACAGAGACATACATTCATTTACCTGACAAATGGAAAGAAGAAGGAAAGGAAGAAAGAAAAGCAAAGACGTGCAAAGACGTCTTTGGAGAATTGCAAGAGCAAATCTAATTTGTTACTCCTGTGTAGAAAGTTTTATAGTGAAGGCGTATTCTTATCTTTAATTTATTCAAATAAGGCGTATCTTTGCTCATCCAACCAGGAGCTATCTCTGACCCTCTTTCTAAAGTCAGAAACTCCTGCTGTGTTTACGGCTTTTCACAGATGAGTGTGAAAAGCTAGAACTTCCACTGTATTGTTTTTCCCACACAGACAAAAGGCAATTCAAACGATCCTAGCAAACCATCTGCTGTAACTACAGGTAACATAAAGGTCAATAGGCCAGAATAAGTTACTGATTTTTAAAACTATAATTAGGCTATTTCAATCAAGACATGTTAAGTTTTAAAACTAGTATACTTTAATTTTATTTTCTTAACAGTAACCAGAGTTGAGAGTTGATTCATTCCACCCACTTTGCTCAGCAAGCTGTGAGAGTGGCTAAAGCCTTCTTCTGCCTACATCTCCCAGATTGCTGTATGGTTCTGGATCTGAGTTCAGTGAATGTTTAAGATATACATATACATGTATTATCTATTGGTATTGATCGTGTCAGACATATTATTGACTTGTTGTCCAGCTCTGCCTCCTAGCAGACATGTCTGTTTTTAAGCTGGATAAACTTCCAGTTCAAAGGTTTTAATGTCACAAAAACCTGAGATGTTGATGGATGTGTGCAGATCCTCTGTATGTTTGACTGTTATATTTCATAACTTGCATGATGTAGTGATGCAACACCTCTGATGCTCTCAGTTCCTGCCTGGTGAGTCGTTGCGCTGCAGTACTTCACCCACTTCCACCCTCTCACTCACAGCGCCACAGGCTGAGCCACTGCACCTACATCAGCTGCAGACAGCATCGCCTCACTCAGACTTTATCTTTATGGCTGTTATTGTCATCTGTTCCCCTGTTCTCCTCCCCGTCCAGCCCTGTGTTTGACATGCATCTGTCCTCTCATCCAGATGCTCCCACCACCACCCCTAAACCCACCACAGCCACCATCACTACCACCTCCACCATCACCACCTCCACCCCGAACCCTGCAGCCAGTCAAGGTACTGTATCACCCTGTGCTTCTATGTTTTCCCTGCTCTGGATTTTACCATTTCCTTCTGGATTTTTTTTTTATTGCACTGTGGCACTTAGGCCTGACTGGTTACCAGTATCAAACTGGTTACCAGTATCAGGTCATAACGAACGACAAGGAATTAGGGCCATGCCAAGAAAATAAAAAATTATATATATTTATATATATATATGAGAATAAAGTCATATTATGAGCATGAAGTTGAACAAGAATAAAGTCTTAATTTTACTGAAATAAAGTCAAAATAATATAAAAATAGTCATAACCAAAGTGGGTGTGGCCAATATACACAAAGGGGCGTGGCCACATCTGGGGCAACCTGTTGCTAATTTATCCACTTTGTTAAGCATCTTTTCAGACCTCGTTTATTTTCAGCATTCAGGATTTTTGTTTGGCCATGAAAATCAAAAATACCAACATAACACTGTTAAAGTTGAAAATAAATAAAACTATAACATATTTAAATATTAATCTGTTTTCACAGCAGGAGGACTAGTTGCAAGTTAAAAAGATAAATTGAATTCTTTTGCACATATTTGTGTTCATACTTTGATTCTGCGGTATTTTAATTAAGGATATCACACTGTAAGGATGCCTACTGTCGGCCTTATTTAGAGGCAGACCTCTTAAAGTTCTTATCACTTAACAAACTTTATATTTCTGGGCTTTAACAGAAAATCTAAATTAGGCTCACATTATTTAACAGAAATGGAGAGAGCTCAGGAAAAGCAATTAGAGAATGAGACTGATACCAAGGCTAAGATCAGCTTCCATTTGTCAGAAAAACTTGTTCATTTAAAGAACGTTCAAACACTTACTTCACACAAAATAAGTGGAATTAAACTAATTAACTTGCTAATATTTTTCATTTTTATTCATTTTTTTTAGCTCACTTTGCATCGATGGAAGTTCAAAATGTAGGTAGATTATCCTGAAGATCTTTTAGCAGATATACGTCCACGCACAAATAAACCAGGGTCAGGTAAGCGGAGTTTTGATTCCTGACCTGGAAAGACAGAAACCTGACTTCTAATCAAAAGTTTTGGTTTCAGGGTGTACAAACTTACACAACAGCTGGTGCAACAAAAAAACCTCAAAATACGGCACAGTTTCTGCTCCAGGCCTGTTTTGGTTTCATGCATGGTCACCATCAAAGACGTCAACATTCCTCATAATGGCTATAAAAATAATAAATATGGAGAGAAGAATCGGTTTTGCTGGGGTTTGGACGATCACTGCGCCAGTCATAAATGATGAGTAATTACAGCGCTCTGAGGCTCAGAGTGATGTCGCCCCCTGATGTTTTTCACATTTTCTAAATGCATCTGTGGGAGGATGTGGGTGAGCGAGGAAATGAGAGGACCGAGACTTTTGTCTTGTTGCTCATTGTGTTGGAACAAACCGGTGCTTTTAGGGTGCAAAAGATGTCTCATAATTCATTTATAATGCAAACATATGTTGTTGTTGTTTTCTCAGGCCACCAATATTTATACACAAAACACAACTGAGAAGGTTAAATGCTTCAAATGCTCGTTAACATGCACTTTGTTCAGGAAACTGCATTAAGTGCAGTGGATCAAATTCTGTAAAAGTTTCCTATTAAGGACATTTTGCTCTCCAGTTATTTGGCAGCAAAATGGCTGCTGGAGTACGCAGAGAAAATATAGAAAAAATATGAGTGTGATGACATATGAATAACAAAACAGGTAAACTGTTACTGGTGCAGATAAATTAGAAATAAAAATGTAGTTAAAATGAATAATAAAAGTTAATTAATTGATTAATTATTAACAAATTAATTAAGAATTTATTTGATACAAATGATCAAGTGTACACTAAAGGAATGCTGTAACATTTAAAGCAATAAAATATTGATTTTTCTATTTTTAAAAAATATATCTTTTAATGTATTTCTAATGTATAAAAAATGTTGAACTAATAATAATAAAATGTTTTATCTAATCAGTTAATCAGCAGAATGGTTCTAAAAGATGGAATATTTTTGTTGCATTTTAGGCAATAAAGTGTTGATTTTACTTATTTTAAAAGGAAACTACCTGTTATTACTTGTTTATTTGCATCATTCATTGTATTTCTAATCTCAAATGGGCTTAAGGGGTCAAATTAAAAATCTTATCCAGTTAATCGATTAATCGCCAGAAAAAATTGATAGAATAATAAGTTAATAAAAGTATCTTTAGCTGCAGCCACAGTGAGACTGTATGATTTTTTTCAAGCTTGGATCAAGAAACAACAGAAACTCAAACAATGTTTCAAATAAATCAATAAAAGTCCAGATTAATGTGACATTAATGCCCTCGGTGGGGAGGTGTGACCTGCTGAAACTGTACATTTTCCTGAAGAAATTGTTGGATCAAACGCAGTGCTGGATTTGAAAAACAGAAAAGTGATGAGAGCAAACCAACAAATGAACATGAGCACTCAGAAATTAGGCCTATCTTTAAAAAAGAAGCAGATTTTTTAGCAGCAGAACCCGAGGGGACGAGGCGGGTTTAAACCTCCAAAGGGTGGCAGATAGAAAACATCGACTCTAAATCAGCCTGAGCTCCAAACGCAATCAAAGCTGCGCTGACAGACCGCTCAATTGGAACAAATCTCACAAGGCTGGCAGAAATCACAGGCATTGTGCTTGATTATGCCATCTGATTGGATTAGAGGGAACGCGCATCCATGCAGGTTGCTGTGCAGATCCAGAGTCTGCGCTGGCGACTGACTGATTAGAAATATCTGGATGATTAACGCCGAGTTCCCCGTAGGGCCGCACCTTTTCATCGCCCGTCACCAACAGTAACACATCCTGCTGGAAACAGGAAGTAGATGTTTTTCAGTTACACTGAAGGAGATGAGAAGCTTTGAAAAGCTGATAGAAATCATCAATGCTGAGGAGATATAACAGATCTGTGTTCAGTTTACAAAACTGAGTAAATCACCATGGCAACCTGAGTAGGGAAAACATCCATCTGGCCTTCTACTGGTCTGTTGGTCCATCCATCTATCCATCCATTGGTCCAACATCCATCCACCCATCCATCCATTGGGCCAACAAACATCCATTTATCCATCCATTGGTCCAACATCCATCCATCCTACATCCATCCATCGGTCCAACATCCATCCATCCATTGGTCCAACATCCATCCATCCATCCATTGGTCCAACATCCAGCCATCCATTCATCCATCCATCCATCCATCCATTGGTCCAACATCCATCCATCCATCCATCCATTGGTCCAACATCCATCCATCCTTCCATTGGTCCATCATCCAGCCATCCATTCATCCATCCATCCATCGGTTCAATATCCATCCATCCATCCATTGGTTCCACATCTATCCATCCATCCTTCCTTCCATTGATCCAACATCCATCCTTCCATTGGTTCAACATCCATCTATCATTCCATCCATCCATCCATCCTTCCTTCCATCGGCCCAACATCCATCAATCCATCAATCCATCCATCCATC